TGTCTATTCATCAATTTCCATCCAATGACAAATAATTAGTGTACTTCAAAATTCACGATTTTCGTGGCTAACTTGTAATATTGTCCATTTTCATCTATTTTAACCCAATGGCAATTAATTGGCATATTTCAAAATTTGCAATAGGCTATATAACCTACAATTTTTCATTTTTCATTTTTCCATCCACTTAATGGCAAATAATTGTCGTGCTTCAAAGTTTTAAGTTTTCCTCGGTTGTAAACCACTACTTTTGTTCATTTTTATCTATTTCAAGCCGACATCAAATAATTAGCGTACTTTAAGCTTCTCAAATTTTATGAGCTATAACTCATGATTTTAGTCATTTTCGGTGGATACAACCGTAGCAATTAAATTATTTCCTTAAAATTTACTATTTTCCAAGGCTATACTCTACGATTTTGTCTATTATCATCAATTTCCATTCATTAGCAAATAATTGGCTTACTTAAAACTTTGCAATTTCATGGGCTATAAACCACTATTTCTGTTCATTTACTTTTGTTGCAAGCCAATGGCAGTTAAGTTTTATATCCTCAAATTTCACGATTTTCATTGGGTCCGCAATTTCATTTGTTTCATTTGTTTCATTTGTTTCAACCCAATGGAAAATATTGGTCCACTTGAAAATTCTCAATTTTCGTAGGCTATAAATCATGATTTTTGTCCATTTTCATATGTTTCGAGCTAATGACAATGGTATTTTCTTTGTTAAAATTTTTAAATTTTCATAAGCTATAACCACGATTTTTGTCCATATCCATTTATTCTGACACAGTGATAAGTAATTGGCGTACTTTAAATTTTGCAAGTTTTATAGGCTATAACCTATGTTTTTGTCCAATTTTTCGTTTCAATCCAATGTCAAATAAGTTTGTTTCCTCAAAAGTGATGATTTTTAAAGTATATAACCCATAATTCTGTCTATTTCTTATGTTTCAACTCAATGGCAATTAATTGGCATATATCAAAATTCTCAATTTTCATGGATATAGCATGATTTTTTTTCTTTATTTTGTTCGTTTTGAGCCAATGGCAATTATGTTGTCTTTCTTACTCACAATTTTTTCCCATTTTCGTATGCTTCAACCCAATGACAATTAATTAGTCGATTTCAAAATTTACAAGTTTCATGGGCTATAACTCATGATTTTGTCCATTTTCGGTCTTTTTTACTTAATGACAATTAAGTTTTCTTCTCAAAATATCGCAATATTTATTGGCTACAATCGACAATTTTGTCCATTTTCATCTGTTTTCATCCAATGACAAATAATTGACATGCTTCAAAATTTACGATTTCCATGGACTATAACTTATAATTTTTTGCCATTTCCACTTGTTTCGACATGGTGGCAATTAATTGGCTTACGTCAAGCTTTGCAATTTTTCATAGGCTATATAGCTGACAATTTTTCCATTTTTATCTATTTCCACTCAATGGCAAATAATTGATGTACTACAAAATTTTTAGGTTTTATGGGCTATAAATTACAATTTTCGTCCATTTTCATCAGTTTCAAATTGATGACAAGTAATTATGTACTTCAAAATTCACAGTTTTTAGGGGCTATATAAACCGCAATTTTTGTCCGTTTATGTTCGTGCAAGCGAATGACAATAAAGTTTTCAATCTTCAAAATTCATAAATTTCATGGGCTATAACCTACAAATTGTTAATTTTCATTTGTTTTGATTATGGCAATTAATTGTCATATTTTCATATATGCAAATTTTCATAGGCTATAGCCAATATATTTTGTCCATTTACATATGTTCTACTCAATGGCAACTAATTGACATACTTAAAAATTATTAGTTTGTATGGGCTATGAAGCAAAAATTTTGTCCATTTTTATTTATTTTCACTTAGTGGCAATTGATTAGCATACTTTAAAATTCACAAATTTCATAGAGTATAACTCGCTTTCTTGTCCATTTTCTGTTGTTTTGGCCCAATGACAATTAAGGTTTCTTTCCCCAATTCACTATTTTTATAGGCTCTAGCCTACAATTTTGTCACTTCCAAATTCTTAGTTTTTATGAGCTATATATCACGATTTTAGTCCAATTTCGGACATTTCGACCCAATGACAATGAAGTTTTCTTTCTTCAAAATTCTCAATTTTCATGGGTAATAGTCCACTATTATTGTCGACTTTCATCTATTTCGATCCAAAGGCAATTAATTGGTATATTTCAAAAAATTTAATTTTCATGGACTAAAAGTCACGCTATTGTCCATTTTCGGTTGCTTCGATCCAATTGCAATTAAGTTTTTCCCCCTCGAAATTCACAATTTTTGAAGGATATATGGCCCACAAAATTTTCCATTATCATTAGTTTCCATCCAGTGGGAAGTAATTTGCGTAATTCATGATTCTTTTGAGCTGTGAACCACAATCTTTCATCCATATATGTTTGTTGTGAGCAAATGACAATTGAGTTTGATGTCTTGAGAAATTACAAGTTTATGGGACAAATTTTCTCTATTTTCATATGTTTCGACCCCATGATAATTAATTTGGTGTATTTTAAATTTGCAATTTTTGTGGGTTATAACCCACAATTTTGTTCTTTTTCATCTGTTTCCACACAATAATAAATAAATAGTGTACTTTAGAATTCTTAGTTTACGTGCGCTATAAACCATAATTTTCATGGGCTATATACCATGATTTTTTTCCTTTATTTTGTTCGTTTTGAGCGAATGGCAATTATGTTGTCTTTCTTACTCAAAATTTTTCCTATTTTCATATGCTTCAACCCGATGACAATTAATTAGTCAATTTCAAAATACACAAGTTTCATGGGCTATAACTCATGATTTTGTCCATTTTCGGTCTTTTTTACTTAATAGCAATTAAGTTTTCTTCTCAAAAACATCGCAATATTTATTACCTACAATCCATAATTTTGTCCATTTTCATCTGTTTCCATCCAATGACAAATAATTGACATGCTTCAAAATTTATAATTTCCATGGACTATGACTTATAATTTTTTGCCATTTTCACTTGTTTCGACATGGTGGCAATTAATTGGCTTACGTCAAGCTTCGCAATTTTTCATAGGCTATATAGCTGACAATCTTTCCATTTTTATCTATTTCCAATCAATGGCAGATAATTGATGTACTTCGAAATTCTTAGGTTTTGTGGGCTATAAATTACAATTTTCGTCCATTTTCACCAGTTTCAAATTGATGACAAGTAATTATGTACTTCAAAATTCACAGTTTTTAGGGGCTATATAAACCACAAATTTTGTCTGTTTATGTTCATTGCAAGCCAATGACAATAAGGTTTTCTATATTCAAAATTCATGAATTTCATGGGCTATAACCTACAATTTGTCAATTTTCATTTGTTTTGATTATGGCAATTAATTGTCATTTTCATATATGCAAATTTTCATAGGCTATAGCGCACATATTTTGTCCATTTACATATGTTCCACTCATTGGCAACTAATTGACGTACTTAAAAATTATTAGTTTTTATCGGCTATAAAGCAAAATTTTTGTCCATTTTTATTTATTTCCACTTAGTGGTAATTGATTAGCATCCTTTAAAATTCACAATTTTCATAGAGTTAACTCGCTTTTTTGTCCATTTTTTGTTGTTTTGGCGCAATGACAATTAAGCTTTCTTTCCCCAATTCACGATTTTTATGGGCTCTAGCCTACAATTTTGTCACTTCCAAATTCTTAGTTTTTATGAGCTATAACTCACGATTTTAGTCCAATTTTGGACATTTCGACCCAATGGTAATGAAGTTTTCTTTCTTCAAAATTCTCAATTTTCATGGGTAATAGTCCACTATTATTGTCGATTTTCATCTATTTCGATCCAAAGGCAATTAATTGGTATATTTCAAAATTTTTAATTTTCATGGACTAAAAGCCACGTTATTGTCCATTTTCGATTGTTTCGATCCAATTGCAATTAAGTTTTTTCCCCTCGAAATTCGCAATTTTTGAAGGATATATGGCCCACAAAATTTTCCATTATCATTAGTTTCCATCCAATGGGAAGTAATTTGTGTAATTCATTATTCTTATGAGCTGTGAACCACAATCTTTCATCCATTAATGTTTGTTGTGAGCAATGACAATTGAGTTTGATGTCTTGAGAAATTACAAGTTTATGGGACAAATTTTCTCCATTTTCATATGTTTCGACCCAGTGATAATTAATTTGGTGTATTTTAAATTTGTAATTTTTGTGGGTTATAACCCACGATTTTGTTCTTCTTCATTTGTTTCCACACAATAATAAATAAATAGGGTACTTTAGCATTCTTAGTTTTCATACGCTATAAACCATAATTTTTGTTCATTTTCATTTGTTTTGACCCAATAGCGATTAATTTGCGCACTTCAAAATTCGCAATTTTGATGGGCCAAACCATGTTTTCTCTCCATTTTCGGTCATAGATAGCGATTAATTGGCGTACTTCAAAATTCACAATTTTGATGAGCTGAATCACGTTTTTTTCTCCATTTTCTGTCGTCCAATGGCAATTAAGTTTTCTGTCTAAAAAATTTATGGTTTTCATGGGCTCTATTTTCATTTGTTGTCCAAATGGCAATTAAATGGCGTACACAGTTTTCCATGGGCTATACCCACAAATTTTCCCCGTTTCATTTAGTTTCCATCCAATGGCAAATAGTTTGTTCTTGAAAAAATCACGATTTGTATGAGCTATAAACCACGATTTTTTTCCATTTAAGTTTGTTGCCATTTAAGTTTGTTGCGAGCTAACGACAATTAAGTATTCTATCATCGTTTTCTTTATCATTATTTAATTAGTACATTTGTAGATTTGGGGATATATCTGCGAGTAAAAAATATTTGGAGGTATATGGCACCAAATTCTTTAATTATTTACTTTTCTTCCATCGTGGTTTTCTTTATCATTATTAACTGGTTAATGGACCCCCTGCTGATTGGCGTTTGATCAACTTCATCTTTTTACAGGATGCGCAGTGTGATTAATCACTTGAAGGGAAGCCATGAATTTCCCCGTCTGAAAATAGGTGATGCCTGATACCTCATTCCACTTGCAGTTGGGAGGTTTATTTAGTAACATTCACAAAATAACATCACTCATACGACTCAATGAAGGCATCGGTCGACCACCAGGCAAAATGGATCCTGCTAATTATGTTCTCCGACCTTTCAACAAGAAAGAGCGAGAAGAGGTTCTTCCTTTTATTCTTTGCACCGAGACTTGCCATGTGAATTTGTGATTATGTGAACAGTTACAGTTTTTCAACAAACATTTCAATGTTCCGCTGCAGCTTGATTTCACCTTTCAAAGGGGCCTGGAAGCGCTCAGGATTCTGGTGCTCGAGGGATTTGATAAGAGCGCAACTTTTGCTAATAGCACGAGACGATCAGAACTCTTGAATTGATGGAGGTTTCGGCAATTATCCACATGATTCACACAGATTCATTTGTTCACACAGATTCATTTGTGCACGCCTTTTTCACGTAGTACTGAAGATAAACAGATATCGAAGTTCACCTGTTACTTGACGGAGAAATGTTTGTTCCTTTGTATCATTTATTTTTTTTATTGGTAGGATATATAGAATTATTGGTGGAAGAAATGATTGTGTTCGCGGAAGAGCTGAACAGGCTGAACCCATTATATACAAGTATTGGATTATTAGAACTTTGTTTGTTAATAGGAAAACCAACTTGCTATAGTATGAATATAGCTCCTAGGTAGGTTCTTATTTCTGAAGCTCTGTAGTAGGTCGGAGAAAATAACGTGTATATTCCCCCGACGGTAAAATCCCTTGGCCTCTCCACATCACATCACATTTGATGTTTCAACGGTTTATTCTACTAAAGACACGTCTGGAAACAGTAATTCGCAAGAACGGCAAAATTGGAGTCCATGAAATTAACTACCACTTGATGATGAAACAAAAGTTTTGCTGAGAAGATAAATGAAACAGAACAGCCTGTAATGTGAGGTTACGCAGCAGCATAGGTGCCCTCAGTAACAAAGGCAAACCTGTAAATGAAAAATTACTTCTCGCCTGTCTATTTTATCTAATAACTAGTAAATCTCGAACTTATTGCCTTGGTTACTCAAAGAAGAAAGACTATTACTTTCAAGCATCATAATGGACTATCATAATGGAGTATCACAATGGAGTTAATGTGTACACAAGCTCCGAGCAAACTGCGGTTTATAGACCTCAGATTCCTATCACCAAAGTAGGCAAATAATATACGTCTAAACTTTCTCATCTAGCATATCTGATTGAACATATGCTTAATTAGGCACATGAATCCCACACAAGCACAATTAACCCATCCCCTTTGATTCAAAAGATCAAGAAAAGCATAAACCACAAATAAAATAGTTCAGCCAAATAAATTTAAAGCAGCATGAATTTAGTTTATTAGGAGCGTCCGTGGGCATCTCGGATTGAGAGCTGCCCTTGGCCCGGAACTTCTGAAAGCTCTGCCTCACAATATGAAACCTATCTGTAGCATTTAGAGGATGGATAGAACGAACAAATGCCTTGGCCTTCAAACCCAGCCAATTCTTCAGTAGATGAACCTCCTCTTCGCAGGCACCCTCAAAATTAAGGAAAAGTCGAACAAAACTAGGTGCTTGAATTCCATGGCATAATTGACTGCACTGCTCTGTCCAAAGAAGACAGAAACCAATCAAGGATCTAGTTACTATACCAAAATAATAAGGAGACTCTAACTGAAGCTATATCAACGATTTAACACACGGTTAAAGAAAACAAGTTCAAGCCTATCAAATATGAACGAAAAGATACAGAACAAACACGAACCTTTTCTAGCATCATTAATGATTACAACATTTCATGCCACTTCGATATATTCTTCTTATGTGACTCTCAAATGCAGGATTAACTGGGAAAGTTCAGAGTTCTTTTATTTCGTTCATTTGGTAACGACGAACAGAATTGTTTGCTAATAAATTGGCTATATAATGCCGGCAAATAAGACATTCTAACTGCATATAGGTTAACATATCAAAAATATCAATATGATTTCTACACAAAATGCTATAAAACATAGGACTCTTAATACTAATCACCGTTCTAGCATAGTCTATCACTACTTATTGTTAAATATGAGAATCATTTATAATGAGGAAAAGGAGGCCGCACCAGTGAGCTTTCATGGATCCTCTTTGAAGTCATGAGCAAGATGATTAGTGAAAGATGAAGATTAACGTCGTTCATGATTTCAATGACAGGTTAGCTAAAAGAACCTCCAAACTGACAGTACTGCAGCAAAAAACTGAAACGGAAGAAAGTAGTTAACCATCACATTTAAAAAGCAGTTAAAGCGTGGACATCTAAGTACAAGAAGGAAATGCTGATTCAATCTGCAGGAGAGACACCATTCCTAAATCGGACTAACTTACCCTGTCTTCCCTATAATTTGTTCAAAACAGCAACCAAATGGGTGCAAGCAAACTTTAAATTCGAAGCACTCCTGAAAGGCATGTCATTAAAAAATCAGATGTTGAGCGAAAATAATTCAAGAAGAAACGACAATATAGTACAACAGAAAATCGGTCAGCAGAAAACAAGCAGAACAGATAAATCAGATTGGATTTCTGCAACATGCAATGATTAATTGTTTGCATCTAAGGTGCATGCTGCATAATCTCATTCAAACCTTAAACTAACATCATCCTCAATGACTGTATCTAGCTATTCAATATCATGTCTCGTAAACTAAACTATTAGGATATATCAAACAATAAAAGTTAAAAATCTATTCACAGGTATAAGAGGGAAGCGATAAACTAAAGACCCTCTTTAGCCAATGTCTGCATCTGCAAACACAGCAATTCGTTCTAAAAGACATGAGCTCGTTGTTTTGATCAACTCAGAAACTTGATTGTTAGGTCATCACCAAAAAACTGAAAAGCCTTTCCTTACCGATACCTAGTCTTTGTTGTCAAATTTTCACTATAGCATCTCGAAATAGCACCGAAATGTTTCTTAATTTCAGTAGATTGATCAAGCTGACAACTTTTCCCAGAAAACTCTCAGCATAGACAAAGTTGAATAAAATTAACATTTCCCAGACGCCATAAGCTTGTTTAAAGATAATGCACATGAACATAGTGGGCTCAAACTGCACGAACAGATGACACAGGCTAAGATGAATAAAAGTAACATTTCTCAGAAACAATAAATAAGTCATTTGAAGCACGCTTGTCTACCGATAATCCGAATGAACATAGTTGAGAACTCAAATTACATGAACAGATGAAAACAAGCATCAGTTCCTGTCAGCATCGAACGGGCTTACTGAAAAACATGGCTTGTGATATGGTCACAACAACCATGATCAGAAGTTTGGCACAAAGAACTAATATTTAGTAGTGTGATGGAACTCTATATGTTAACAACAATTATGCAAAGAACTAATATTACTAGTGTGATGAACTCTATATGTTAACAACAATTATGACAAGTTCAGCTTTTCAGAAACAATTCTGCAACCATCAAAAAACTTAAGGTTTGGGAAGTTGAAGAAATTTCTGGAACTATTGGACAATAATTCTGTAAAAGATAAAAGGTGTATTGTGTAATGAAATAGAGAGGGAAATTTATGTCAATACTATAACAAAAAGGAGAAAGGACTATAAGCTTATCTTGATGTTTTCAAGTTTGAACTCTAAATAAAGAATCATTATATAACAGAACCAATCTTCGGGAGGAATTGGGTCAGACGTCATCACTAGCAACTTAAGATCTGACTTTCCCATTGAGCCATGTTTATGTTGGAGTCCTTCCTACCATTGTGTTTAGATGGGGGTTAGAGGGTGGAAGTTAAGGTGAAAGTTTATAAAAACCTTGTATGGGAGTTTTTCTGAGGGGTTAGAAGATGGAATGGAAGGTTAAATTTGGTGAGATTTTTCTCCCCTCCAATTTGGGAGGTAGAGGAAGTAACGGAAATTGAGTAAACTTTTACAATATGATGAGACAATTTTACCTTATCATATTAAATCAATGGCTAAGATATACCCTCTATCACATAAAACAACAGTTGAGATTTAGTAGCATTTATGTAACTTCATACATATTTACTTCACTCCCTCTCCTTTATTAGAATTTCCAAACAAGGTAAATTAAGTTTACTTCCGTTCCTCTTACTAAATTCCCAAACAACATTTTATCTTTTCCCTCTCCTTCCGTACATTTTCTTTCCATTATTTAACTTTCCTTTCCTTTCCATAGTAAACTCCCATACAAAGCATACATGACTAAAAAAGCAACAACATTATTGAGTTTTCTTGATATGCACTGCTATTCTACAACCCGACAACTAATCTTCTAGATAAAGTGGTTTCTTGATAAATTCAATAAAAGTGAGCATCACTAGATCAAATATATAAATTTCACACATTAAAAGAATCTTAAAGGCTTAACGTGAATATAATAGTTTTCAAACAGCCAGATCTCATCAGTTGACTCATAGTTAATATTTATTAAAAAATTCTTAAAGGCTTAACGTGAATATAATAGTTTTCAAACAGCCAGATCTCCAGTTGACTCATAGTTAACATTCACTTCTTATGCAGGTTAACATGAATGATCTTGGAGGTATAATAGATTTAACAAACTTAACAAGTCTATCAACATCAGATAATACTTCAGCATGATATATTGTTAACTGCGAAAACTAAAAGTAGTACGGACTTCTGAAACTTACCATCACACAAGATGCTACCCAACTGTTACCTTCAGGCAATAGAATATGAAAATATGCTTCCTACATACAAGCACAGAACAATAAAACGAAATATCACCGGTAGCAGTGTGCAACAACTTTGTATTAACCAAAAAAGAAACTAAACAAATCGAGTGGGGAAACACGTATCACACTTCAATAATTTACCTTGACCAAGTACCATAATTGCATTTGCAGAAAGTGGAACAATGTCCTGAACCTTCTCGCTTGTAAAGATTACTCGAATAGCTAGATGAAGAATGAAATCAAAGAGTCAGTATCCACCAATGGCTCAGAGAAGATTATAATAGCAGACACATGATGTGTTTAGGAGCAATGAGTCGATGACCAAGGTGGAAGCAATAACTGCAAAATACATGATCATGGGAAAGCATTCTGCCATCACATAGACTAGTTTTCTAAAACAAACGTGTATGTTTATCTTCATCATCTAAACCTTTCCCATCTAATAAATGGGTCAGGTACAGAGCACAGAGCCCCAGAAAAGATTGAGATTGATCAAATCTCCTGAATAGCTATTAATCTGGCTACCCCTCTTCAGTTTGTGGGAAACCACGGGGGATTACAGTTAATCCAAAAAGCCAATTAAAGAGTTCAGCAACCTATCTTTTTGTATGTAATTTAAGATCATGCAACCAAGTATAACAGATGCAACAGAAAATGTGGTTAGGTCACGTTGGAGTACATAATAACCAATAACTGGCAGTGTAGTATAGAAATTGAATTGACAGAAGCTCATCCTTCCATAACCGAAAAGCAAAACATGTCCATAGTGAAATATTAGAGTTGTCTGAAGAATCATGATCATGATTGAGGTTACAGAGACCTGTAATCTTCATTTCCTTTTCCTTGTTTCCATTTTCATCAGCCTCCTTGACAGAATGATCCACGTCTGCCATGGACATGACATGTATTGTATGAGCTCCATCTGATAACCAAAACACCTGAATTTCTATGAAATAAATGATGTAAGCAACAAGAGTGAAGCCAGCAACACGTACAAATGTGCTTGACACACAGAAAAACTTAATCATACTTGCAGATATGTCAGGAAGAACAGCCAACAGTTGCACATTCATGGTGACGTCCAAATGGTTTAGTTGATCAGCTGTGGATATTGTTGAAGAACTACTGATGGTTTCCAACGCTAACACGTTCCGCAAGCTCAACAGGTAAATATTTCCAACTGAGTCCAAAATTAGAAATTTCTTCTGGGACAAAATACGAATGGCAATAGCTTTCAGTGAAGCCTGAAGTCCTGTACTGCATTCCGAATCTTGGGCCACGGCACTTGTCATCACAAAAAATGAGCTGAAATTGCCTGAATCCTGCCTAAGCTTCAGAGTTCTGAGCTTACCTGCAAGCAAACAATTAGGCATATGCTAAACATAGACATGTATCATGACATGAAGTTAAGAGTCCCACACTGAATGGATATAATAATTTAAATATCAGAGAAGTTGGATTTTAGGATACAGACAAATCCCATTATGCTACAGGGATATTAAAAACCTCCAGGGCTTTCAACAGATACTGCATTGGCAATATTCCAGAAAACACAATATACTGCATGGGCAAAGGGAAGTACACAACTTTGACTCCATCTGTTTCTTGCCTAGTCTCTTCAAGTTACAATGAAACGTTAATATTTTTACTCCATTGTTTTTTATTAGTAATACATTCAGCACATTCTTTCCTTCTAGTGTTTTCCTAATAAGACCAAACCCTAACCCCCTCCCTCCCCAATCCCCTCCCCAGTGCATATTGTCTTCTTTCAAAGTTGCCTGTCATGGGAAGCAGGAAAATCTCCTGTTACAAATGCATTTCACTTTTTAAGTTTTCAAGCTAATCTAACTACCGCCCGTAAACAGAACAATTAAGAGTCAACTTCGTACATGTGGAGATATATCACTAGCCGCAGATGAAGAAAAATACCACTAACATAACGAGGAGTTGTCCAGTCTGCCAAGTCACAATGACCTACTAGCACAAAAGGGAGTGGATTAGCTATTTTTGGTGGTGGAGTTGTCCAGTCTGCCAAGTCACAATGACCTACTAGCACACAAAAGGGAGTGGATTAGCTATTTTTCGGTGGTGGATGGGTTTTAAAGAAGGAATCATTTTAGATATATGATATTATACATGTCACCAATACATTCTTTCTGGAAGTTATGACTGCAATATCTGCCAATTTCTATTGCACATAAAGAGATGATAACTTCTTAACTACTTTATGGAATATGTTGCAGCACAGGTTCAACATTCGAAAATATAGTGCAACGCATCAAAAGGATGTGCATATAAAAGTATTTTAGGACATCTTCGAAGTATTTGTGAAGATAAGCCAAAGTGGTAGGATTTGACTAAAATTGGACTTGCTTAAGAATAGTGTTGTTCATGGTTTGCTTGATATATGTCCTTAAAATATTGTGTACACAGTGTCATGTCATGCTCTTGCTTTGATTTGATTACCAACTGGAGAAAGTTTAGTAGTGTAGTCCATGCTATGTAGAGCAAGTGCATTCCTTTTAGGAAGAGGAACGGAAAATTGGAACAATTTGATGCCAAACTAAGTTGCACCATACGGGTACGGGTGCAGGTACGGGACATGACAATATTATAAAAGGTAGGTGATACGAGTTGTCGTGCGAGCACCTTTGATCGCGGAATTATCAAAGATGGGTTGAGAAGAGGATGACAGAAACACAAGCACGATTCAGTATATGGCGAAGGAAATTACCTTATCTAGATTATGAGTATGAAAAGATTACAATCCCTCTCTCACAATCTCACTAGAATCGAGAACAAACTCTCAATTCTCACTAAACCCTAACCCCTCTCTCTGAGATCTGATTAGAATACAATCTTTGATTACAATCTCAGTAATAAACCCTAGAAAAGTCGTGTTTCTATTTATATCAAATAGAAATCCTAAACAGTGCAGGAAAATAAACCCAGGCCCAAAACCCGTCTCGCAGTCGACCGCCAAACCATGTGCGGTCGACCGCACAGAAGACCCGAGGCTGAAAATCCATTACAGGGTTTTGGCGGTCGACCGCCAAACCCATCGCGATCGATCGTGAAAAATCCAGAGACCAACCCTGAGTCTGTGCATGTTCGCGGTCGACCACAGTGCCATGCGCGGTCGACCGGACTTCAATAAAATGGCTTTTCCTGTTCTTTTCTAAATTCTTCGACTTCGCGGCCTCCAACGATTTTGTCCACGACTCCTCTACTCTATTCTCAAGATACCATGAGAATCATCCATCCTCAAGCTCCCATGATGATCGCTAAGCTCTCGAAGAAAAGATACACCCGTATCATGGGTCCCCCTTTAGAAACTTGAAGTCTCATTCAAGTTAGAACTTCAGCTGAGGGAATTCGCAAGCCTCTCCTTTTTTTTTTGCACTACCTGGCCTTGCAAGGAATCCGGTCTCGACGTCCGATCGAAAACAACTCATCCATCCCGCGTCTCGTCGTAGTCACCTGTCGCTCCAAGTTGCAATCCTTTATCGATGACTTTTCTGGAAGTCTAATGCACAGCGAGATAAACTTCTTGCTTGCATTCACTAGCCTCTTCGCTCGCGTCACCGTCCCCAAGCTTGTCTCCCTCGGAAGATACGCCGAACGAAATATGAACTTTTTACCGCTTTTGGTGAATGTATACTTCTGAGCCCACCTCTCGTAGATCTCATATCTATCCCTTAAGTACGAATTGCCCAGTATAATCTGACAAACTTTCAATGGAACTACGTCGCACGTGACCTCGTCAATATATGACTCATGGAGCGTAAATCTGATAGTGTATTGATCAACTACACTTAGTTTCTCCTCCTTCTGAATCCACCCCAATGGATAGGGCTTTGGATGCTTAACCGTCTTCAGACCCAGCTTCTGAACCAAGACCTCGGATATCAAATTCTTCTCGCTATCTGAATCACCTATGGCATTAACCAAACTGGTCTTCACTTGCAACTTAAGAACAAAGAGCTACTCTCTCGGGTCGTCCTCTTTCGTGGTCTGTTTCCCCGTCATAAGGTTGAGACTGCTATTGGGCTCTGTCATTCCCGGGACTTCTTTCGAACCTTGAGCTATCACGTATGCCCTCTTCTCCTTTTTTTTCTTCAACCCTCTTGGCTTGAGATGGGGATACTTCTCCCAACATCGATCAGCTATGTACCCTGTCTTCTCGCAGTGACTACAAATCAGCCCTGCTTTCACTAGATCACCCTTCTTCTCCTCCTTAGATTGAGAACCACTAGACTCGCCTCCCGTCTGTTTAGAGTCTTAGTCTCGTTGTCCATCTTTTGCCTACCCTCAATGGCAATGGCCTTCACGCTCGCCTCTGCAATAGTCTCAACCGTGAATAACCTCATCTCCTTCCGGATATAATCACTCAAACCCGTCATATACTTCATAAACGCGGAATATTCCTCTGTCGTAATGTTAAGAATCATTGTCTGCTGCTGGAACTCCGTGGTGTATTCTTGAACGGTTTGATTGACTCTTTAACGTAAGCCGTACCACTTGTACCAACGCTCCTCAATGAATCCCACCGGGTAAAACTGCTTCCTCAATAACTCCTTGAACTTGTTTCACGACACCGTCTTCTTCTCCTGTTTGCAATAGGATTTTCACCACGTCAACGCGTGCCCTGAAAGCTTCAAAGTCGCGAACACAATCTTCTCTTTTGACGAATAGCCATAAAGAGTAAAATACGTCTCCATCCGCTCGATCCAGTCATCAAGCCTCTCAACGTCAACACTCCCATCATAAATAGGAATCTCCATCTTGAAGTCAATCTTCAGGTTCTGATAAGAATTCTTACCTCCTTGATGCAACGCAGTCTTAACGGTCTTCTCCTCCTCGTCGGAATCTGAATCTACTCTCTTCACATCGGACTCAATAATTTTCTTCGAAGAAGATTCAACTTGTTTGTCACCTCCATGAATAAGACTGACGAGTTGTGTGAGAGTCAATCCTATCGTCTCGATCTGCTTCTCTAATGCATCAAGCATTGCTGAATTATCCCCTTCAGTCATCTTCTCCTTAATTTCTGGACTCCTAATGAAGTAAGGATCTCGTCAAGCTTCTTGTACTGCGATCGAGTAAGGACCATACACCGATTCCCCCTTCACAGGATCTAATGCTCTGATACCAACTTGATACGAGTTGTCGTGCGAGCACATTTGATCGCGGAATTATCGAAGGTGGGTTGAGAAGAGGATGACAGAAACACAAACACGATTCAGTATATGACGAAGGAAATTACCTTCTCTAGATTATGAGTATAAAAAGATTACAATCCCTCTCTCACAATCTCACTAGAATCGAGAACAAACTCTCAGTTCTCACTAAACCCTAATCCCTCTCTCTGAGATCTGATTAGAATACAATCTCAGTAATAAACCCTAGAAAAGTCATGTTTCTATTTATATCAAATAGAAATCCTAAACAGTGCAGAAAAACAAGCCTAGGCCCAAAACCCGTCTCGAGGTCGACCGCCGAACCATGTGCGGTCGACCGCACAGAAGACCCGAGGCTGAAAATCCATTACAGGGTTTTGGCGGTCGACTGCCGAACTCATCGCGGTCGATCGCGAAAAGTCCAGAGGCCAATCCTGAGTCTGTGCATGTTCGCGGTCGACTGCAGTGCCATGCGCGGTCGACCGGACTTCAATAAAATGGTTTTTCCTGTTCTTTTCTGAATTCTTCGACTTCGCCGCCTCCAACGACTTTGTCCACGACTCTACTCTATTCTCAAGATACCATGAGAATCATCCATCCTCAAGCTCCCATGAGGATCGCTAAGCTCCCGAAGAGAAGATACACCCGTATCAGTAGGGTGCGGAAACATGGCTGAAACTCATGGGATATAAAGATAGTTCTGAGCTATATACGTAAAGGACCCTTTTAACTCATAGCTCTTAAGGTTGAAACGAACTCAAACATTATCCAACAAGTTACAAAAATGGATGTGAATTGTAGGATTTATATCCAAGAAGCATATGACGTGTTTTAAATTTAAATATAAGTAGTGTCCAAGAAGTGTCGGGTACGGGTATGGATACGACACGTGTCAGGTATGGGTACAGATCTATACTAGAAGTACCCAGCTAACATAGATGTCAAACATAAACCGCAGCTAATAAGCATAGGTGAGAGGTGCTCTCTAAAAGAGAGATGGTGATGATGTTTTTACACAATACATTACAAGAGATTTCCTGCCAGATCTTGTGGCAAATGAAAACTTGGGAAGCATGATACATGAACGATTAAACTAAGAACATTAATAGTGCTTATGTTGCAGATTCCCCAAATTATATATCTATACCCAACTACCAATACTTCCTATATAACTTAACCTCTCTAAGTATTGTTCACTACAACCACTTTTATCTGGCCTTAACTCGATGACCGCTTACAAATCCTTTAAAAAACAGAAGAAGTAATGTGGATGAGGCTAGGATGATTTCCTAAGGCAACTAGTGATGATCTTCCCGATAATGTTCAATCAGACCGGTCTCCAGGACCAACTTTACGAAATGCATTTTATACAAGAGTTGCAGAATGCATGACATATCAAAACAGAGCATGTTGAAAGACCGATAAGACCTCCATTGCTGGTTGAATTGTAAAATTCCATCATTTCATATCTAGATTTTTACCCTCAACAGTAGATAGGAGCTACAAGCACCATTATGTGCAAACCCAGACAATTATATTTCAGTAGAGATTTCACAAATAGTTCTTTAAGAGTCATCTGAGAGTAAAAGAGTCAATTATCGCCCTAATTTGCACCACTAACTAATATGTAATGAGTCTCGTACTTGTCGCAATATTGTACTTGATTTTCCACCATATAACAGTCAGATATTTATATGGTATCTCCAGACAATTATATTTCAGATTCCTCATTGTAATTCCAGGTTTAAAAAGAAGATGAAGCAAGAACTTTTTGGTATCACATAACTCTAGTAGCAATGATTTCCATATTAGTTTCAGATGACAGATGCAAAGGGACTTTCACTTTCCAAATAAATCCTCTTGCATCTATATATAAATCTAAGAAGAGCACTTAATCCAAATTAGATTCGGGTCCGCTCCACTACTTTTTAGTAGTGGAGAGATCATTACTCTAAATTACAACCATATGTTACATAATTCATGCTTGTGACTTTTCTTGAATGAAAAATACGAATGAATGCAATATATGGGGATATGGTAAAAGCGAATAAATTTACACTCTCGTCTCTCCACTGAATAGTAACCATCAATTGAACGATAAACAGTTTTCATCAAAGTAGTGGCCTCTCCACTGCTTTTTAGCAGTGCAGAGGATCCGAATCATGATCTATTATCACCAGTAATGACTTAAAACCGATACTTATCTTTATTTAATGAAGTTCCTATTTCCTTGAAGTGCAGTATTTCATGTTCCTACATGAACCACAAATCCATGCAAACAACAAATGCTCAAATTTTGCAAGCTTACCGCGATTCTGCGGCTCACCAGCTCCGCTCAAATCCCTCCTCTTCTTCTTCAACCCTTGCTCTCCCTTCACCATCGGCCTCAACGGAAACACCCTCACCCCGCCCACTTCCCCGAGCGCCAAAACTCCCATCGAAACCCTAATTTCATAAATCGGCCTCGTACACTCTACCACGGCGCATTTCTCCAGCTCCACCCTCTCACCTCCCTCACCACCAACCACCCTCACACCCAAAACCCAGATCTGGCTCTCCGCAACGGAATGCACCACCAGCACATTGACCGAACCCGCAACCCTAACACCAATCCCATGCCTTAGGCCGAGATCGACCTCGTTCGATCTCCTCCCAGTCCGCTTCTTGAAGCTGAGAGATGCAGGAGCGAAAAGATCAGATTTTGACCGGCGGATCCAGGCGCGGAGCAGAGTGGAAGACGAGGATGGGGATGGGGAGGCGGAGACGAAGAGGGGGCGGCTGGAACCAGGGCTAGGGTTAGGGTTCAGGAGCACGAAGCAGGCGGAGGTCGAGATTTGAGGGATCGAGAGAGGCGGTGAGGGGGAGGAAGGGGAGAAGGAGGCGAAGAGGAGGATCGACGAGTTGGTTAGGGTTACGGCGAGGGATTGGGAGTTGGGTTCGAAGAGGAGAGAGAGGGGTTTCGTTGAGGAGGAGAGACTAGGGGGGAGGAGGGAGAGAGAGGAGGCTTGGACGAGCATATCATAATATCGGTAGCAATGGCGGGAATTAGGGTTTTTCTAGGGTTCAGGCGAGATGGCAGCGGCGGCGACGAGCGGGGGAGGAGGGTGTAATAAGGTAGAGAAGAGGGGTGGATTGGTAAATTTGTATATATATGTTAATACTTAATTTAGACTTATGAACTCTTTTGGACTGATCACATGGGAACTCTTCTGGTTGTAGAGTGTTAATATTATATTTTAATTAGCCCGTCAGATAGCTAAATTTGCTTTTATGTTCAATTTTAATGAGTTTCCTCAGAAGTAGTTCCTCATATACTGAAATTGCTTTTAGATCTCCCAACTATTGTAAGTTGTTTTCAAATTAGGGTTATTGCGATATTAGCCCCTCAAATCTTTGAAATTGATCCCATACATCCCAAATCCTATAAGTATGTTGAAATAAGCCCTCTAGGTAAAATTTAGTTGAAATGGGGGGATATTTAATTTAATTTAATTTTTTTGGTGATTCGCCAAGTGTACTCTTCTCACACAAACTCAAATTCATTAACAACTTACATTCATTAAGCTCCCCAAATTCATTAAATAAAACCCTAAATCAAACTCAACTTCCGCTTCATCTCTTCCAACGTCTCCCCCGACAGCTCGCTTCAGCTCGAATTCCAAATTTGCGCCGGATAGATTCCTCTTAAGGAACACGTTAGAGAAGATGCTTGAGAAGATGAAGTGGAAAACGAGTTAGGGTTAGGGTTTTATTAAATGGATTTGGAGAAGTTAATGTGTATAAGTTAAACTAGTTAATGGGTTCGGATTTGTGTGAGAGGGATATAACTGGCCAATCACCTAAAAAGTTAAATTAAACAAAATATTCCCCCAATTTTAATAGATTTTAACTAGGGGGTTTATTTCAACATACTAATAGAATCGGGAAGCTTGAGATAAAATTCAAGATTTGGGGGTCTAATATCAAAATATCCAAGATTTACAGGGGCATGAGATCAATTTTAAAGATTTGGGGGCTAATACCAAATATTGAAGATCTCCCAACTATTGTAAGTTGTTTTCAAATTAGGGTTATTGCGATATTAGCCCCTCAAATCTTTGGAATTGATCTCAAACCCCCAAATCTTTGAAATTGATCTCATGCATCCCAAATCCTATAAGTATGTTGAGATAAGCCCTCTAGGTAAAATTTAGTTGAAATGGGGGGTTGTTTAATTTTATTTAATTTTTTTGTGATTCGCCAAGTGTACTCTCATCACACAAACTCAAACTGATTAACAACTTACACTCATTAAGCTCCCCAAATTCATTAAATAAAATCCTAGCTCAAACTCAATTTCCACTCCATCTTTTCCAACGTCTCCCCCGACAGCTCGCTTCAGCTCGAATTCCAAATTTGTGCTGGATAGATTCCTCTTAAGGAACACGTTAGAGAAGATGCTTGAGAAGATGAAGTGGAAAATGAGTTAGGGTTAGGGTTTTATTAAATGGATTTGGAGAAGTTAATGTGTATAAGTTAAACTAGTTAATGGGTTCGGGTTTGTGTGAGATGGATATAACTGGCCAATCACCTAAAAAGTTAAATTAAACAAAATATTCCCTCAATTTTAATAGATTTTAACTAGGGGGTTTATTTCAACATACTAATAGAATCGGGAAGCTTGAGATAAATTTCAAGATTTGGGGGTCTAATATCAAAATATCCAAGATTTACAAGGGCATGAGATCAATTTCAAAGATTTGGGGGGCTAATATTCAAATAGCCCTTCAAATACATCACTCCGATAATAAAAACTAGCAATATCAGCATATATCAGTTAGAGGATCAAATAGCGATTTTAATAAGTTGGGCGACTAATTTCTAAATGTTAACTATTGAAGGCACAATTTTGGAAAAAAATTTAAAAAAAATATCACAATTAAGAAGTAGATTAAGAAATAACTTTTAAAATAATGAAATGTAAATATTGAATATATATGATATTGTTTTTTATGTTTATCATATTTTTAGAAGTAATGGAAATATCCTTCTACTCATTTCACATTTTTTGAATAGTAATTACATATATTGTTAGAACATTTTTTTTAATCGTTCAAATGTTGATATTGAAAGGTAAATCCCCAAAACCCTCCGACGAATTGAAGAACTTGGGGGTTGTTTGGTTGTATATTTTTACCATGTAAAAGGATGAAAAGTGTAAAAAAGTGGGTCTCAATGTCAGCTTTCATCACTTTACATTGTTTGTTTAAATTCTCTTTTACATGAAAAGCTTACACCTTTTGATGAAGTGTCACTGAAAGCAAAATCACCAAAATTAGGAGTGATTTTGTTGGAAAACTGACACAATGTCATAAATGTGTCCAAAAAATAATAAAAAAGTCAAAACCTTGTAGAAAGTGGTGAGCTAGATAACCACTTTCTATTTTGTGTCATAAATACTCTAGTTTACATTATACTATCTAAACAATGTAATACCATTATTTTAGGATTCATAAAGATTCCTAACCAAACAATGTAAACACTCGAATGGAAAGTGATGAGGTGGATAACCATTTTCTATTTTGTGTCATAAATACTCTAGTTTCCTAAATGCATCCAAACAGCCCCTTGGGGTTTTAAATAATGATTAGCTAATTTGGGAAGCAACACATAGGTGGAAATTCCTAGGGGTTTTAGACACAAAAGGCTCCAGATGCAAATACAGCCCAGCTTCCGGCTGCTCAGAACCATGGTAAACAGTGATCAGTATCAGATTTGGGGGCCTGCGGCCCATTTCAGGCCTCTAAAGGCTTGGATGAAATGAAGTACACCAGTTCGAGTGCAGTCCCAGGCTGAGAGGCCCAAAATATTATGAACGCAATGATTTATGGGTCCCAGCTAGGAGAGGGAAAAACAAAAGAAAACCAAATGCAAAAGATCAAAGTAACGATGTCGTTGAGATGAGCACATTCAATTGCCATCTTTCTATCTTTGCACAAACAACATAAAAACCTCTCATTCTCTCGGATTGAGGAACAAATCAAAATCTCATTCTCCCCTCTCGTTCTTATTGATTTATTTATTATTTGTATTTTATTTATTTGTTTCCTTGTAGCATGGGTATCACATACCAAATTCATATTTTTTGTGAAGACTGCTGTGAATATTCCATTAAAAAAGAGCCCATATGGATCAAGGGGTAGTTAAAAATTTATAATTTAAAAATTTTAAGTTCGTCAATTTCATTGCTAGAAGATTTTCAGGTAGCTTTAATCTTTTACTAATCTTAAATTTCAGGAACACATCTGAAGTCAGTCGGTTTGGTTCAAAAGCGAGACCTTCGATATAATCTTGATTATCAATTTAAAGGTATGATTTTGCAACAGCATTATCTTTTTAATCTACCAAACGATATTCAAGCCAACATATTCTCCATAATTAATAAATATGATCGATACTAAGTGATGGAATGATCATCTAGTTGTTATGAGTATTCTAAGACAATATAATTCAGGACAAATTTTTAGACCTCTTCTCAAAAATATTTATCAAAATAGACCTATTTCTAAAATATTTATGAAAATAGACCTAGTTTCTGCCATGTTGGCTGAAACTATGTCGATTTTGATAAATATTTGAGGAACTTGGTCGATTTTGACAAAAAGAATCATAAGATCTATGTGATTGGGAATCCCGTAGAGTTTAGCATATAATTTAACTCTATGGGATTGCCAATCCCATGGATTTCAAAAATCTTTTTTTTAAGTCGACCTAGTTTTGTTGGCATAGCTGAAATTAGGTCGATTTTAATAAATATTTTGCAAGTAGATCGAAATTAGTATTTTTTTAAAAGGGCTATTTCAAATACAACTAATATCATTACTATAATGCTGAATAAGTCTTTCGTATTTGGGTGGGGGTTGGGGAAGAAGCAAAATGGTTGACCAAAAAATATACCAAAATAATAATAATAATAATAACAATACCGACATTAAAGGCCATGTAAACCTCATATTTATTGTGATGATGATCGCAGAGGTTGTGGATGTCTCTTCAAGATCTTATGGAGCCGGATCCTCGCGTTCTATCCAATTGCAATCTCCAGATTTCTGGCCTGTATGTTTTCTGACCCCAAAACAAAAGACCTTATCTTATCTATAACTATAAGACCCTCCATTGGTTGCAATTGCATATATTATTTTTCATTTCTCTGCTCAAATTTTATAAGATTTTTATTTTTATTTTTTAAAGATGCCTAGAAAACCTGGCTCATGCAAATTTGATGGTACGACTCATCTGGGCCTCATGAGCCCATTTAGTTCTCCTTCTTACCCCAAGCGCCATGTTTACGCAAATTAAGGGGTGTTCAAGGTTATTAAAGTGAGCGCTTACGTTGCTCAATATGGAAAAGTACTAAATTGTACTTGATAACGCAAATGGTCAAATGAGCGTTCTTCGACACAAGGAAGCGAAAAATGTCAAGTAACTATATATCTAATATGAAAAATCCAAAGAGTCAAACAAACCATTTACTCCCTCGACAATTCGACTACAACACACTCTTCCGCGTTTTACTTCACAATTCAACTACGATATACTCTTTCACGTCTTTCTTGTGTCATGCAAGCATCGCATGCGCTATGATACTAGTTCTTATTTAAACAAAGATCAAATGCCAGTTATTTTTATTTAGCAAAACTTCATAGCTCGAAATCCAATCTAAAAGTTGCTATATGTTATCTCGTCGAGTCTGTGTCGCTATGAAAAACACCAAAGCTAGTGATAGCGAATATTGAGAATAGCCTATCGCTTTATATATTCCGACATTATGCGTTGCAACTCTGTATTTTCCACACTAACTACATTAAGACTGAGAGGTCAAAGATCAATCCTTACAGTCCTGTATATATACCTCAAACAGTATACATGTTAAGGGTTCAATGTTCGAATATGTTCAGTGATAGCTAGTACACATATTACATCAATATTAAATATGATAGATCCATCAAACGCCAAGAAAAATCTTACCCATGGAGCACAACATCCACCACAATTTTGTACAACATCCACCACAAAATTGCAGCCCTTTCAATTCATCTCCAATCCTCAACATCGTCATCCCCATATTGTGGTGCCACTTACTAGTTGCATACAAATCAACCACGTATGTTCAACCCGTACCCCTATCTCTATCTCTATCTACTCTATTTGTGCATCACAAATGTAGTAGGCCATGCATGCCCACTATTATAAGACTTGAGCCTAGTCCTCCCGTTCTCAGGCACAATGTCGACGACCGCCGCAGTTCAAGGCTCAACCATCTTCGCCTCCTGCGTTGCCCGCTCGACCAAATCCAGGAGACCTTTCGCCATCTTCTCCTCCCTCTCGACCCCTCCTCCGTCCACCCCTCGACTTATCAGAAACTCACCCGTCTTCGCCGCACCTTCCACTCTCACAACAGCAGTGGTAACCGCATTCACATCTCTCTACCTACTTATTTATTCTAAGATTATTTACAGGGTTTTTTTTTTTTTTCGCTTTCAGTTTTGACTACTCAACTGTATCTTTTTCCGCCTAAAAGTGCAAGTACGTTTCACACTCACGTGACTCTTGTGTACATCTCAACCTAAAAGAAGAAATAACGCGCGTTTTAAAGCATAATAAAATATTACACTCCACAAAATAGAAAGCCCATTTATAATCAACTTTTATTTAATTTCCGAACGGCTGAAAAATTCCTCAAGTATACATAGAACGTGACGAGTATCTGAAGTACCAAACAAAGAGATACGTACGCACATCTCTTGCAAAAACTGAGCTCAGAACGCAGCCCGCGTGCGTGCTGACCAAAAACCCGACCTCCCCAGGTTGGTCCCACTTACCAGTCCGTTATCTTGAGCGGGTCCCACGCGCTATAACAGAGCACCCCATACAAAATTGGGAACCAATCCGTTACCTTGAGCGGGTCCCACGCGCTATAACCGTAACCGCTTGTTTCCCGCGACCAACGCCGAAGCTCCGCTTGCGGCCACACGGACGTTGTTTCGCGCGGGACCCACGTGGAAGTGAGAGTGTCAGATGATGGGTGCGCTTCCATTGGGTCATTTTAATTTTTCAGTCCCCGGTCTTATCTAGCCATTGATAATTAAATTGGGGAAAAAAAACGTTGGTCATCATGCCTACGTTGGTAACGCATTAGCTTACATCATACCGCAGGCTCATAAGAAACACGAGTTTTTAGAAGCGTATAAAGACCTTCCATCGTCTTCTCAATTCGTTCATCTCATCCCCGATCCCAAAAAAAAAAGCTTCGATCCGCTCTCTATCTTCTCTCTTTCTCTCTCCTCAATTTCAAAATTCAAAGGATCTAAAGCTCCAAGGTAGCGATTTTTAATCCAATTCTCTCATTTCTTTACGCGATTTCAGTGGATCCGATCTCAATTCTGATGTAATTTGATTCTAATTGCGTGATCATGTGTTTTTTTGGGGGGATTTTTCGCAGGAAATGGACGCCGTCGAGAGGATGAAGTCAGGGTTCGAACACTTCAAGACGCAGATCTACGAGTGAGTTTTATTTTATTTTACCAAAAACTAGCTCCGTAG